AGTGATGGAATTCCAGTTGAGCTGTATCAAATCCTAAAAGATGATGCTGTGAAAGTGCTGCACTCAATATGCCAACAAATGTGAAAAACTCAGCAGTGGCCACAGGACTGGAAAAGGTCAGTTTTCATTCCAATCACAAAGAAAGGCAATGACAAAGAATGTACAAACTATGCACAATTGCACTCATCTCACATGCCAGCAATGTAATGCTCAAAATTCTCCAAGCCAGGCTTCAACAGTATGTGAACTGTGAACTTCCAGATGTTCAAGCTGGTTTTAGAAAAGACAGAGGAACCAAAGTTCAAATATCCAACACTGGGTCATTGAAAAAGCAAGAGAATTCCAGAAAAACATTTACTCTATTGACTATGCCAAAGCCTTTGGCTGTGTGGACCACAACAAACTGTGGAAAATTCTTCAAGAGATGGGAATACCAGACAACCTTACCTGCCTCCTGTGATATCTGTATGCAGGTCAAGAAGCAACAGCTAAAACTAATCATGGAACAACCAACTGGTTCTAAGTCAGGAAAGGAGCACGGCAAGGCTGTATATTGTCTCCCTGCTTATTTAACTTAATGCAGAATACATCATGAGAAATGCTGGGTTGGACAAAGCACAAGCTGGAATCAAGATTGCCAGGAAAAATATCAATAACTTCAGATACACAGATGATACCACCTTTATGGAAGAAAGTGAAAAAGAACTACAGAGCCTCTGATGAAAGTGAAAGAAGAGAGTGAAAAAGTTGGCTCAATACTCAACATTCGGAAATCTAAGATCAAGGCATCTGGTACCATCACTTCATGGCAAATAGATGGAGAAACAATGGAAACAGTGACAGACTTAATTTTTTGGGCTCCAAAATCATTGCAGATGGTGACTGAAGCCAGGAAATTAAAAAATGCTTGCTCCTTGGAAGAAAAGCTATGACCAACCTAGGTACATATTAAAAAGCGGAGACATTACTTTGCCAACAAAGGTCTGTCTAGTCAAATCTATGGTTTTTCCAGTAGTCATGTATGGATGTGAGAGTTGGACTATAAAGAAAGCTGAGCACCGAAGAATTGATGCCTTTGAACTGTGGTGTTGGAGAAGACTCTTGAGAGTCCCTTGGACTGCAAGGAGATCCAACCAGTCCATCCTAAAGGAGATCACTCCTGCGTATTCATTGTAAGGATTGATGCTGAAGCTGAAGCTCCAATACTTTGGCCACCTGATGTGAAGTACTGACTCATTTGAAAAGACCCTGATGCTGGGAAAGATAGAAGGCGTGAGGAGAATTTTATGATATGAAAAGAAAAGCTCAGCAAATTTCAAAGATTAGGTATTGTTTTTTCTGTGCATTTTGATCTCCATATAATTTACAAGTTAATAACAAATTTCCAGTGTTGGAGGCTTTTTATGTCATTTTAGTGTAATACTAAATAATTTTAATATTATAATGGATATTTTAAATAACACAAAGGTAAGTAGCAATGAAAATACTATGCAGAAAAACTACAGAAGGCAGTGAAAAGTGCAGTATTGAGGAAAACTGAAAGACTTTAAAACTCCTAAGAGAACACAGGCTCAAAAATAATGAGGTAAGTTCCAAAATTAAGACAGTAGAAAATGGTATTATGCTCACAGAATTAAGTCAGAGAAAGACATATAATGTTAGGATATCACTTATATGTGGTAAAAAATACAACAAACTAATGAATATAACAAAAAAGAAGCAGACTCAGACACTGAAAAGAAACTAGTGGTGATCAGTGGGACAATATAGGGGTCGGAGGGTGAGAAGTACAAACTATTACGTGTAAGACAGGCTACAAGGATGTATATAGTACAATATGTGGAATATAGCCATTATTTTTTAATAACTGTGATTGGAGTATATCCTTTAAAACTTGTACAAAAAATTTAAATATGAATAAAATGAAGGTAGAAGGTGAAGAATATCTTCAAAAACAAAAGGAAAGAGTTATATATAATAGGAGAGTAATTAAATGAAATAGCTTTTTAAAACCTGAAGTTCTTTAGCAAAAATAAAAACTTCTACAATTGATTGGTTAAGGGAGGACACACATACAAATATAATTAGAAAGAAGACATAATTATGTATTGTGTAGAAACCGAAGTGATAGTAAGAGAATTCTTCCCACTGCAATATGTCAACAACTACAAATGTGGACAAACTGGAAAAATTCACACAAATTATTACTTCTATAATAATTAAATCAAAAGAGTATTTCAGGAAAAATTTTATGGAACATTCAAATTCTTGTCAATCTTAATAGATAACCAACAAGGATCTGTTGTACATCACAGGGAACTCAGCTCAATATTAGGTAAAAACCTAAATGGGAAAAGAATTTGAGAAAGAGTGGATACTTGTATGGGTATAACTGAATCACTTTGCTGTCCACCTGTAACTAACACTTCACTGTTAATCAACTATACTCCAATATATGATTAACAAATAAAGGAATAAAGCAACGAATTCATGTCAATCTTAAGCAAAATCCTCTGAAGATAAAAGGATAATACTACTTACCTAATTTTACAAAACCAGGATAATCCTCATGCCAAAACTAAAGGTATTGCAAGGAGTTTTTAGGCCTCTTTCACTGTTGCAAAGTGCTAAAAAAATATATTAACAAATCAATTCCAACAGTGCGTAAAAATATATACATATTGTGTGTTCCACTTGGCTTTATCGCAGATATAACTGAGTTGGCCAAAAAGTTTGTTTAGTGTTAAGTAAAAATAAGACTTTTTCATTTCACCAAGAACTTTATTGAAAAACATAGTCACTAATGGAATGAACTTTTTGGCCAGCCCAATATAATGGTGATTTAATTTTGGACAACCAATTTATTGATGGATTGAAAGTGAAAACAATCACTATTTAAATAGATGCAGGAAAATAATAAAAACTCAGTAAATTAAGAATAGACAATTTCTATAACTTGCTAAAGAATATTTTTTTAACAAACCAGGTAACAGCTACTTTAAGTGGGCCAGTTTCACAAATGTTCCTTTTAAAACTAGAAACAAGAAAAGGGAGCTCACTGTTACCACTTCAGTATTGTGCCACAGGTTGTAGTCAGTAAAATACAGCTGTCAAGAGATATTAGTGACAAAAGTCTTAGGAAAAAATACAACTGCTGCTGTTTCAGTTCAGTTGCTCAGTTGTGTCTGACTCTTTGTGACCCCATGGACTGCAGCACGCCAGGCTTCCCTGTCCATCACCAACTCCCGTAGCCTACTCAAACTCATGTCCATTGAGTTGGTGATGCCATCCAACCATCTCAACCTCTGTCGTCCCCTTCTCGTCATGCCTTCAATCTTTCCCAGCATCAGGGTCTTTTCAAATGAGTCAGTTCTTTGCATCAGGTGGCCAAAGTATTGGAGCTTCAGCTTCAGCATCAGTCCTTACAATGAATACTCAGGAGTGATCTCCTTTAGGATGGACTGGTTGGCTCTCCTTACAGTCCAAGGGACTCTCAAGAGTCTTCTCCAACACCACAGTTCAAAAGCATCAATTCTTCGGTGCTCAGCTTTCTTTATAGTCCAACTCTCACATCGATACATGACTACTGGAAAAACCATAGCTTTGACTAGATGGACCTTTGTTGGCAAAGTAATGTCTCTGCTTTTTATTTTTTTATTTTATTTTTTTTGTCTCTGTTTTGTAATATGCTACCTAGGTTGCTCATAGTTTTTCTTCCAAGGAGCAAGTGTCTTTTAATTTCATGGCTTCAGTCACCATCTGCAATGATTTTGGAGCCCCCCAAAAATAAGTCTGTCACTGTTTCCATTGTTTCCCCATCTATTTGCCATGAAGTGATGGTATCAGATGGCTTGATCTTAGATTTTTGAGTTTTAAGCCAACTTTTTCACTCTCTTCTTTCACTTTCATCAGAGGCTCTTTATTTCTTCACTTTCTTCCGTAAGTGTGGTGTCATCTGCATGTCTGAGGTTATTGATATTTCTCCCATCAATCTTGATTCCAAGCTTGTGCTTCATCCAGCCTGGCATTTCAAATGATGCACTCTGCATATAAAGTTAAATAAGCAGGGTGACAAAATACAGCCTTGATGTACTCCTTTCCCAGTTTGGAACCAGTCTGTTGTTCCATGTCCAGTTTTAGCTGTTGCTGCTGTTTAGAGGTGATATTATTAATCACAGAATAACTCAAAAAATACTCAGATGACTTAGAAATAATAGGTGAGTTTAGCAGTTTTAGATAATATTAGTTTACAGAAATCACATAGATTAAAAAAAGGAACTAAAATATATTTAATAAAAATACATATTCAAAAATATGTGCTATTATTTACATTAGTATCATACAAATATCACATATATAAAGACTAAAAATGTGTAAGACTTTTACAGGAAATAATTATAAAATTACTGTTAAGTGACATTAAACTAGACTTATATAAATGGAGAAATATGCTATTTGAATGGATTGGAAGACAATAATACATAAAAATAGTTGTTCTTTAGTTTGATCTATAGGGTCAAGGGAATTCCCCAAAACATCCCCAAAGCAATTTCAAATAAATTATTTCAAGAATTTAATAACTTGATTATAGTATTTATAGACAGATATTTCTGAAAAAGTAAAAGCTTGCTATAATATCTTTTTTTTTTGGGGGGGGGAAGTCAAGTCATTTATTTGTCTTTTACATGAAAACAAAATTGGGGGAGGGAGAACAAGAGGGAAACTGGCCAGCTGCTCAGATTTTTCTGTAGTCGGAATGGGGCAGCCAGCCGTGAGACAGGAATTGGGTCCCCGCAGCAACGTGGCAATGGCGACTGGACCTAAAGCCGGTTACTGAAGCACCGTTTTCTACTAAATCTTAAACCAAGCTAAGCAAGTTAAGGTTACACTGGAAAGCAACACTGTCTGCAGTATTTCTCTTAAGAGCACAGAAAGGAGTTGACATGCAGCAAGGCGACGGCAGGGCAGGCAGCGTGGGCCAGGCTAACCTAGAAGCAGGATCAGTTCACGAAGAGCGAGCGGGTGAACTCGACGTAGTCGAAAGCAGTGGGGAGTTCGCGGCCCTTGCCGTCCACATAGGGCTTCATGTGGGAGACGCAGTAGTCAGCTTGTTCCCGAGTCAGGTTCTGGTACAGCTCCTCCTTGGTCACGTAAGACTTCCCTTCGGAGCTCAGGGCCCGGAAGGCGCTCTCAATCTCCTCGCTGGACTTGAGTCATTATAAGCCTATATTAATTAAATGTATTACTGGCATGGAAATAGACATGTTCACCAGTGGAGTCAAACAGTGCAGAAACTGAACACACTTATATGTCAGAGGTCTTATACCAGATCAGATTATAATAGAGTGACTACTCAAAGGATGGACCAAAAAATTTATCCACATATGATAAAAAGTAAAATTGCATTCCTACAATACACTGTTTAAAAAAAAAAACTTCCCATAAATCTAGGACTTAAATGTCCAAAATAAATTAAAGCTCTTAGTAAAATATAGTGGTAATGATTTATTAGACCTTGAAAAAGAAAAGGATTTCTTTGCAAACAGTATAATCATCCACAACAAAAGATTTTTCAGTTTCTGCTGCTGCTACTGAGTCGCTTCAGTCGTGTCCAACTCTGTGCAACCCCATGGATGGCTGTTCTTCAGTTAGGGTAAGCTAAACGTTAAACGCACTAGTCACAAAAACACCCTCTTTCAACAACACAAGAGAAGACTCTACACATGGACATCACCAGATGGTCAACACCGAAATCAGATTTATTATATTGTTTGCAGCCAACGATGGAGAAGCTCTATACAGTCAGCAAAAACAAGACCAGGAGCTGACTGTGGCTCAGATCATGAACTCCTTATTGCCAAATCAGACTTAAACAGAAGAAAGTAGGGAAAACCACTAGACCATTCAGGTATGACCTAAATCAAATCCCTTATGACTATACAGTGGAAGTGAGAAATAGATTTAAGGGACTAGATCTGATATACAGAGAGCCTGATGAACTATGGATGGAGGTTCGTGACATTGTACAGGAGACAGGGATCAAGACCATCCCCATGGAAAAGAAATACAAAAAGGCAAAATGGTTGTCTGAGGAGGCCTTACAAATAGCTGTGAAAAGAAGAGAAGTGAAAAGCAAAGGAGAAAAGGACAGATATTCCCATTTGAATGCAGAGTTCCAAAGAATAGCCAGGAGAGATAAGAAAGCCTTCCTCAGCAATCAATGCAAAGAAATAGAGGAAAACAACAGAATGGGAAAGACTAGAGATCTCTTCAAGAAAATTAGAGATATCAAGGGAACATTTCAGGCAAAGATGGGTCCGATAAAGGACAGAAATGGTATGGACCTAACAGAAGCAGAAGATGTTAATAAAAGGTGGCAAGAATACACAGAACTGTACAAAAAAGATCATCATGACCCAGATAATCACAATGGTGTGATCACTGATCTAGAGTCAGACATCCTGGAATGTGAAGTCAAGTGGGCCTTAGAAAGCATCACTATGAACAAAGCTAGTAGAGGTGATGGAATTCCAGTTGAGCTATTTCAAATCCTAAAAGATGATGCTGTGAAAGTGCTGCACTCAATATGCCAACAAATTTGGAAAACTCAGCAGTGGCCACAGGACTGGAAAAGGTCAGTTTTCATTCCAATCCCAAAGAAAGGCAATCCCAAAGAATGCTCAAACTACCGCACAATTGCACTCGTCTCACACGCTAGTAAAGTAATGCTCAAAATTCTCCAAGCCAGGCTTCAGCAATATGTGAACCATGAACTTCCAGATGTTCAAGCTGGTTTTAGAAAAGGCAGAGGAACCAGAGATCAAATTGCTAATATCCGCTGGATCATTGAAAAAGCAAGAGAGTTCCAGAAAAACATCTATTTCTGCTTTATTGACTGTGCCAAAGCCTTCGACTGTGTGAATCACAATAAACTGTGGAAAATTCTGAAAGAGATGGACATACCAGACCACCTGACCTGCCTCTTGAGAAACCTGTATGCAGGTCAGGAAGCAACAGTTAGAACTGGACATGGAACAACGGACTGGTTCAAAATAGGAAAAGGAGTACGTCAAGGCTGTATATTGTCACCCTGCTTATTTAACTTATATGCAGAGTACATCATGAGAAACGCTGGGCTGGAGGAAGCACAAGCTGGAGTCAAGTTTGCCAGGAGAAATATCAATAACCTCAGATATGCAGATGACACCACCCTTATGGCAGAAAGTGAAGAGGAACTAAAAAGCCTCTTGATGAAAGTGAAAGAGGAGAGTGAAAAAGTTGGCTTAAAGCTCAACATTCAGAAAACTAAGATCATGGCATCTGGTCCCATCACCTCATGGGAAATAGATGGGAGACAGTGGAAACAGTGTCAGACTTTATTTTTGGGGGCTCCAAAATCACTGCAGATGGTGATTGCAGCCATGAAATTAAAAGACGCTTACTCCTTGGAAGGAAAGTTATGACCAACCTAGATAGCATATTACAAAGCAGAGACATTACCTTGCCAACAAAGGTCCGTCTGGTCAAGGCTATGGCTTTTCCAGTGGTCATGTATGGATGTGAGAGTTGGACTGTGAAGAAAGCTGAGCCCTGAAGAATTGATGCTTTTGAACTGTGGTGTTGGAGAAGAGTCTTGAGAGTCCCTTGGACTGCAAGGAGATCCAACCAGTCCATCGTAATGGAGATCAGTCTTGGGTGTTCATTGGAAGGACTGATGCTGAAGCTGAAACTCCAGTACTTTGGCCACCTCATGTGAAGAGTTGACTCATTGGAAAAGACCCTGATGGTGGGAGGGATTGGGGGCAGGAGGAGGAAGGGATGACAGAGGATAAGATGGCTGGATGGCATCACCGACTCGATAGGCATGAATTTGAGTAAACTCCAGGAGTTGGTGATGGACAGGGAGGCCTGGCGTGCTGCAGTTCATGGGGTCACAAAGAGTCGGACACGACTGAGCAACTGAACTGAAGTGAACTGAACTGAAACTTTAAACAGCATACTATATGTCCAGTGTAGCAAAAGAGCTGTGCTCATTACTCAGGGACCCAGGCTGACCAAAGTTTCATCTTAACTATAAGGGCAGGAAAAAGAAAACGTTTGATTTTATGCTGCCTCTTAAATATTCTTCCTGAAGGTACAAATGTCACTTCTGCTCCCAGTTGACTAAAATCACATGACAATGAGTAAATTCACCAAGATAGTGATATTAATCCTTTCACTTGAAGGGCATAAAATACTTATGAAAATAATATAGTTTTCTATAAAATACTAATTATATACTAACTAGATACTTGACTATATTAAAATTAAAGTACGTTGTTAAAACTATGCAAAAGTAAAACAATTACAAGGGATAGCTATAATGCATAACATAAGCCTAAATCATCAAAGAGCATGGTACCAGTGCCTGAATACATAATGAAAATATAGTCCAGAAATGTATGAGCAACACACCCTCAAGTAGTAAAGAGAACAACTAATACCAGATCTTGATTTCTAAATAGCATTCTTCATGAAAAGGAACCAGATCTTTTTTGGAGAAATGGGTAATTATAGGTCTTGACACAGAAGTGTAAAGATAAGCCTCAGATTCCTTTTTAGTAAAAAGCAAAGAAATGCTCAAAGTCTAATGGACTCATGTCTAAAGAGAGAGAGTGACTTGGATGAGCTTCTAGTAATCAAATTTGAAATAATTTGAAAATTGAAAGGTATACTGAACAGCATCAAACTACACAGAGAAAAACTGATGGAACTGTAAGGAGAAAGGGGTGAATCCACGATCACAAGTGGAGACTTCAATGCCCCTCTCTTAAAAACAGACTCAGCAGGCAGAAAACCAGTAAGCAAAAAGTTGCACTCAACAACACCATCAATCAACTGGATAGGACTGACATCTATAGACTAGTTGATCCAACAAAAGAATTCACATTTTTCTCAAGATAGCTAGGAACATTCAATAAGACAGACAACACTTTGGCCATAAAACAACCTAAGCAAATTTAAAAGAACTGAAAATATACAATGTCTGCTCTTGGACCACAACAGATTAAAGTAGAAATCAATAACAAAGTGATAGCTGGAAAAATCCCCAAATACATGGAAATTAAGCAACACACATATAAATAACATGAGTCAAAGAGTAAATCTCAAATTTTGAAATATTTCAACTAAATGAAAATAGAAGTTATGGGATTCAGTGAAAGCAGTGCTTAGAAATTTATAGCACCGTATGCATTCATTAGAAAAGATCTAAAATCAGTAATTAAAGTTTCCACCTTAGGAAACTAGAAAAGAGTTGAATTTAAAAGATTAAATTCAAACTAAGCAGAAGAAAAACTAAGAATTAGAGCAGAAATCAATGAAATTGAAAATGGGAAATCAGTGCAGAAAATCAACACAATCAAAAAAGGGTGTTTTTTTTAAAGATCAATAAAAATAAGATGTTACCCAGGCTAAGAAAAAACAGAGGCACAAATGACTAATATCAGAATGAAGGAGGGGACATTACAAAATATTCCATGGACATTAAAATTACAAAAAAGGAATACTAATAACAGCTCTACTATGGGTATAAATTTGACAACCTAGATGAAGTGGACCAATTTCTTGAAAGATACAGTCTGCCAAAATGCATGCAAGAAGAACTAAATTTGAATAGGCCTATATCTATTAAAGATATTGAATAAATAATAACTTTTCAAAACAATATGAACCAGGCTCAGATGGGTGTACTGGTAAATCCTACCAAACATTCAAGGAACATATTATTCCAGTTGTCTACAATTTCTTTCAGAGGATTAACCAGAGGAAATACTTAACCATCCCATGAGGCCAGTATTACCCAAATAACAAACAAGACAAAGACCTTAAAAGGATACTGCAGATCAATCTCTCATGAACACAGGTGCAACAAACCTCAATGAAATCAAATCCAAAAGAGTATGAAAAGAACTATACACTACAACCAAGTGGGATTTATTCCAGGTATGCAAGGCTGGTTCAACATTTGAAAATCAATTAATACAATCCATCATACCAACAGACTAAAAAAAAAATCACATGATCAATAGATGCAGAAAAAATATCTGAAACAAATCCAACATTCATTCATGACAAAAGCTCTCAACCTGATAAAGAATATCTACAAAGCACCTACAGCTAACATTGTACTTAATAGTGGGAAATAAGACATTTTCCCGCTAAGATGAGGTACGAGGCATGGATGGACCCTCTTGCCAATTCTTTTCATCATCATACTGGAAGCACTTCCTAAAGAAATAAGGCATGAATATAAAATAAAAAGGTATACAGATTGGTAAGGAAGACATAAAGCTATTTTTGCAAATGCCATACCTACATACAGAAATCTGAAAGAATCAACAAAAAACACTTAGAGCTAACAAGCGATTATACCACAGTTGCAGAATACATGGTTAATATATAAAAGTCAGTTGCTTTCCTATACCATCAATTGGATTCCTATACCAACACTAAACAAGAGGAATTTGAAACTAAAAACAATACCATTTACATTAGCACCCCCAAAAATGAATACTTAAGTAAAACCTATATACAGGATCTGTATGAGAAAACAGTGAACCTCTGATGAATAAAAAAGGAGCTAAATAAGTGGAAATACACTCCATGTTCATGGACAGAAACAGTATGGTCAATATGTTAGTTCTTCCCAACTTGAGCTGGAGAATCAATGCAATTCCAATAAAAACTGCATTAAGTTGTTTTAAGGATATAAGCAAACTGATTCTGAAGTTTACATGGTGAGGCAAAGGGCTCATTTTTGTTGTAAATTTAAACTGCTGTAAAACAAAGTTTAAAAAAGAATATTGAGAATAACTGATCATATCACATTAGATTTTAAAGAAAACAAATGAGTTCATAATAAAGTATGTTTTTAAATGTGGTTGGGGAAGAAGTTTTTATTTCTTTTACACAAGTTCCTAGCTAATAAGTTTTGAAGGAGTAGTATAATTAAGAAATAACCAGTTTGCAACATGTAATGTAATAACTATAAGAACCAATCGATGCCAAAAAACTGGGGTTATTTAGTACTGAAGCACAGCTCACAGATTATTTATTAAATACAAAGAGAAAACTATTATTGTTACAGTGGAACCATCTGGTCAACAATTCATTGACTAGGCAGAATGGAGGATGTTATAAAAGATTAATAGATTAGATTCTTTAAAAATGTAATACCATGAGAAACAAATGTGAAAAAATAAGCAACTAGAAAATAAAAAAGACAGAACTTCCTGAGATTAAAAATGACATAAAAAAAAGTAAATTAGTAAACGTTGGATATTTAAAAAGGTCTTGAGGACAACTGGGGATATCATAATATTGCACCTATATTATATAATATCACAGAAATATTTTTATTATTTTAAAGTAGTAATAACAGTATTATAATTATATAGGACAGTATCCTTATTCTTAAGAGATACATGGTGAAGCAGTTAAGGATAAAGTATGATGTCAACAACTTTCTTTCAAGTGATTTGGCAAAATAATACACACATAAACACAAATGTTAACAGAAAATGTGGCAACATTGTTAGAAACTGATGAATGCAACTGAACGATGGTGAACAACTGGCATCCACTGCACTACTCTTAACTTTAGTTTTGAAAATACCACCAAGAGACACTGTAAAGAAAGTGAATAGTCAAGTCACAAACTGGGAATGTATTTGTCCTCACATAAATGACAAACAATAAATATTAAGAATGACAAACAATAATGTTAGGAATATGTAAAAATTGTCTACAAATTGCTAAGGAAACCAGAAACAAAAAAATGAGGGAAAATAAAGAAGCAATTGACAGATGATAAACAACTTTGCACTAATAAATTTGAAAATTTGTTTTCTAATAAGTTAAATACAAATCAAGATCAAAGTTATATATATTTTCCCATTTAGATTGGTTTAAATTCAAATAAAATTTCTAGCAATAACACATGTTGGACAGAATATAGATGCACAGTATTTTTAATAGACCCTTACTAGAGTCTAGATTGGTACAACTACTTTGAAAAACACATGACACTCTCTCATAAAATTGTACACATAAACATTATCTATGACTCAACAATTCCACTCCCAAGAGAAACTCATATACTTACTTCCAGAGTCATGTAGGAACATCCACAGTGACACCATCTTTGAAGAGCAAAATCCTGGAAATAATCCAGTATGCATCAAGGTTCTGTTTTTCACATTGAACAATGTGTGAATATTGCACAGGCATTAAAGTGAATTACATCAAGATATGATAGTATATGTAAAACTCAAAATTTTTAAGTTAAAGCTCAAATTATAACATAAATATGTAGAACATACATATAAATATCTATTAAAATCTTTCTATATATCCTTGTGTACACTTTTTTAGGAATACATATAATTTAAAACTATGTAATTTAACCTAAGGAAATGATGAACACAGATTCAGATGGTAATTCCATATGTGAGAGGCAGGCAGGAGAATGGTTTGTATAAGATCACATATGAATATTTAAATTATCATCAAGGTTCTGTTTTTCACATTGAACAATGATTTCCCAGGTTATTATATTATAAAACATAGGTAAATTAAAAAATAGACAAGTACAAACATGCATATCTAACTGAGCGAATAATAAAAGTCATACCTGGGTCAACAATGACTGTTAGAAATCAAGGATGAAGATTAATCCTTAGTCCTGTGCCTCTGCGGTTAGGTGGTATGAGGAGCATTGCTATTAGCAACAGGCAGGAGGAATATGAAGGAGGTCCAATCGCAAACTGTAAAGAACACTGAGGGCAAATTAAGTAGCTCGTTGTCTTAACTCTGTACCTCAAATTCCTTATTGATACTTTTCCCTTTATTAATTCCATAAGGTTCATTGAATATCACTTTGCCTCGAATTTCTACAAAAATCTACTGGCTGTGTGGGTCAATTTATTCCTGAAAGTATCAACACTGTAATGAACCTGGATGTTTTGAGCTGTTTGTAAGAGCAATTGAGCATGGTTTGAAAACCCTGGAGGAGGAAAGAGCAAATTAAGTTTAAGAAGGTATTATTACCTTTTTTCTCCAAGTACAACTAGACTAAGAAGGAGTCAGATACTTCATCTTCCCTCCCATTTTCCTGGGTGATGAGGAAAATTTAAAGTCTGTGTCTGAAAACAAGGCTTTTTCTTTTAAGAAGTAATTCTCTGGGAGGTAACATGAAAGGTAGATGTATTTCTGTAGACTATTCAGCATTCCTAAAACTATTTGTGAAATAAAACTGTGCAATAATTATCCGTGTAGGTAGTGATTAGAAAGGCAATTTTATTCTGGAAAAGTTTCACATTTTAAAACACAGATAAAAGATACCTGCATTTATTCATAACATTCCTCCAACCTACTTGTTGGATTATTATTCATCTTTTTGAGTGTAACACTCACATGTGCAGTCAACTGGGGGCCGGCTAGGTGACTGTGTTGAATGCACCTGTGTTTAGTCACATGTCTGGAATCAGCTGACTCTTCACTGGGGCGATTACTCTCATCCACATTTCTCATCCTGCATCAGGCTGGCCGGGGCAAGTTCCCTGAGTGAGGCCTCAGAGGAAAGTAAAAATATGGAAGACTCAGTGGTGATACACCAACAACTGGCAAGTCACACGGCCAAATGCTGCATTAACGGAGAACGCATTCCGCTGTGTAGATACAAAATGAGGAAATAATTGAGGCGGGTGTTGCAACCTACTGCTGGCACTTATATCTGTAACTGTACCCTAATCACTGGTCTTGGAATAAGGCCAATTTTCGCCACCTCACATCTCCTTCCACTTCATCATAGTAGTTTCGCTTGGGGATTCTGTTAATCCCTATCAAGGTTGTTTCACTTCCAAGGCCTAAGGGAAAGAATTTGAACAGTGTGTTACCTAGCTAGGCTGGTAAATACCAGTGTCTATTTCTAATTGGACAAGCATCACTTAATTTTTGTATTATGGGTCATTATTTCCAGATAAATATTTCTTCAGAAATATGTCTTGAGGTTAATAACATGTTTTAAATATATGACTTTTTCTCAGTATTTAACCTGCTCATAGTAGGTGCTCAATAAAGAATCAGCAGTCGTTTAATGGATATTTCACTTCTGGGGTGAACAAAGAATCTTCTATTTCAAGGATAAAAAGTCCTGGCTTAAGATAGAATATTCAAATAGGGATTTTCTAGAGGCAGTACAGAAATATACTGGTCAAGAAAAAAGACTAAAACACTCAATTAAATATTAATTTCTTTTTTTTCTTGATGGAACACTTTTTTTAATCGACCTCGTAGAAGCATATTATGAAGCATAGAAAAAGTGACTGTTGTTATTTTAAACCCATGGTATTCTATGCTGGCTTCAAACCAGAATCAACAGGGGAGAATTTTAAACACTACCAATTCTGGGGCTCACCCTAGATTAAATCAGTATCTTAGAGGTGGAGCCTAGGGATGGATATATTTAGAAGCTCCCTAGGTGATTCTAATGTGAAGCCAAGGTTGAGGACAGATGCTTTAAACTCTTCTAAAAATACCAACAAGAAAGTTTGGAAATTGAACAAATGCACCTGGAAGCAACATGGCTGTTAACTTGGCTATTGCTAAACGATCCTGACAGATGAAACAGAATCCTAATTAATTTGTCTTCCTAAGTCCATTATGGGCCTTCACCTGGCAGCATTTTCAAAACACAGATTTTAGAAATGCTTAATTTCAGTTATTACAAAGTAGTTCATAGATGCTGGGCAAGAAACTTACAATCTGACTTATATTGTGATATAAAATTGATTTGATATCACTGGGATGTAGATCTCCTGATGAGAGCTGACAAAGACCAGCTGAGGCTTTAGCTAAATGATGTATGAGAGCACGGAGGAGCAGACAGTTGGAAACTAATGAGATGATAAAAGCTTTCAGGTATGTGAGTTGATCAGCTACCTGCTGAGACCCTCTCACTGTAGAGAACTCCCATGCTCAGGGCCCTCTTTTCCATCTTAGGTACAATCAAGGTGAGTGATATTCTGTGAAGTATTGTCCCTGCTCATTTTTGGAGGTGAAGTTGGAGAACAGTGGGAGCCAGTAGGTATATCTTCCATCCCACATTTATATATATTCCAGTCTAAGAAGCATTCTTGTTAGTGCTTACATATAGTGGCACAGGGATGATTTATGAAGGGATTGTCAGCCATAAACAGAAACCTTGTGGCACTAGGTACTTACTGCTCCATAAACTACTGACCTCGACTGAGATTCCCTGACCCCATCTCTGATCAATCCTGGATATATTCTATCTTTTACCAAGAGCAGTGACTGTGGTAGGAAAAACGAGGTATGAGGCTATATTTTAAAGTCAAAGTAAAATCAGGTTTTAAATTCTAAAAAAATCAACTGGATTTCAACTTCAAGGAATTCAGAATAACTCATGATGAGATGGTATTAGACTACAACAGAATATACTAGCAAAATATAAATGTGTACATAAAACAAGGGTTACTGAACTATTAAAAAGTGGGAACAAATTAAAAATTTCCAAGACTGGACTAAACACGCGATTTTCTATACCAGCTTCAAGAAATTCTCCAGAAAACAAGTGTCCCACTGTCATATCAGTATAGAAAATACTGCAAACCACACCTCCTTCTTAGAGTATCACTGTATAGATGACTAGAATAAAGGCCCAGAGAAATAATACAGTAAATAAGAAGATTGGGCTTGCTTATTACAGAGTTTCAAAATACTCTTAGAACGCTGGCTATCATATGATTACATCTTGGGGAACACTGAGCTGGTATTGTTTATGTAATTAATCACAGACAGGTACATTAATTAAAGGAAATGTAAAGCCACACACATGTAAATGTAAAGCCGACTGATAATAAGTCAAATTGGATAATTTACCTTTCTTGAAATTCACAAACAAATTTTAGGTATGGAGATTATTTCATTCTTTTACTTTTCACCATCCACAAGAATACAGCTATTGAAAAACACTGCTAGATTTACATCTACATACAGTTCCCAGGCAATCTAGGGCAGAAATTCAAGGGTACAATATAAAGTCACTTACCTTTGAATGTAATCCAAGTTTTTATGTCTCTTGGCAAATATGGCACTTAGAACTTGACAATACACTTTGTGCAGTCAAGCGAGAACAGGACATCTATAATACAACTACAGTTGTCTGTAATCCACAGGGGATTGGTTTCATGACCCACTGTGGACACCAAAATCCACATGTTTAAGTACCATAGTCAACCCTCCATGTGTGGGTTCCACATCCACAGATTCAAACAAATGCAGATTGTGTATTAAGTTTGTGATCTGTGGCTAGTTGAATCCATGGATATTCAACCCTTGGATATAGAGAGCTGACTAAAAATAATAAAAAATCTACACATAGGTGGACCCATGCAGTTCAAAATCATGTTATTCAACTGTTGACTGTATTTCTGTCAAAGTTTTCTTTCCCTCTCTATCCATACTTCATTTCTTTCATTATTTTATGTTGCTTCTTTCTAAAAATAACATATTTTACAGCATCCTAATTCAAATCTGTAGTAACAGTTTCATTTAGATTCTGTTTTATTCGAAACCCATTATTTCAAAATATAATTGTTGATACTGCAGTCAATTATTATAGTGTTTCTGCAACACTTACCTTATTCCAAGTGTTACCACTAGAAAAATTTAATATTGATGTAGTTTCATTAATACCATTTGAATATGAATGTGTAGTAATTCTTTTATCTTACAGATAAAGAATGAGGTTCCAGCTCAAGATGATGATGTAGGAAGATGCTGAACTCACCACTACCCTTGGGCAAACTGGTTCTACAGCTACCTATGAAACAATTTCCTCCTTAAAAAACCCAAAGCCTGGCTGAATGACGACTACACACCAGATAGATGAGAACAGCAACATCTCAAAGTAGGTAGGAGATGATGGAATCCAATTTCACCATAAACCCCACCCCAGCATGGTGACCCACAAAAAAGAGGAACAAGAGGGAACTTGAAACCCAGAGCTTCTCCACTTCTGGATATTTATCCAAAGAAAACAAAAACACTAACTCTAATAGATATCTGAAGCCCTATGTTCATTGTATCATTTATAATAGTCAAGGTGTGGAAACAATCTGACTGACCATTGATGGATGAATGGATAAAGAAAATACATTTTATATCACACAATGGACTATTATTCAGCTATAAAAAAAGAATGAAACTTGCCATCTGTGACAATATGGATGGGCAGTGAAGGGATTATGCTTAAATGAAATAAGTTAGACAGAAATAGACAAATACCATATGATACTTTATGTGTGGAATTTAAAGGGAAAAAAACACCAAACTCACAGATACAGGTTGGTGGCTGCCAACATCGGGGAGTGGTAGGTAAGAAAAAAAAAAGAATCCTGTATGTCTTGTTTATTCCATTTCTAGCACTCCACCCGAGGGAGAAAATAATGAGAAATGTGCTTATACTAGAGTATCTATGTATCTACAGATCATCTCAGTAGGGAAGTTTTGATAATCAACCACTATTTGGATGTTATTTAGAGGAAGGAGTATTATAAAAGGCCATGGAATGATTTTTTTTTAATGTTAGACAAAGTGGCATCAGTCAGTAGGCACAGCATAAATGAATCTTCCTTAATGCACAAGTTAGGCAAAGGTTAAAATACATATCATAGTAGTATATGCATTATTGATAACAGTGATTTATGATTTAAATGTTTCTAGTAAACAGTATTTCTTTAGTAAAAAGTATAACATCCAGAACTAATACATTTGTACAAACCATAAGCCTGACAATGTTTCAGACGCTCTGCATGTATTAGTTTAATAAACAAAATGCTTCTATGAGCTATAAAGAGTATTAGCCACCTGGCATCACACCACTAGTCTATACCAGTAGTGGTAGCAAAGATTTTTGGTTGGACCTCCTAGGTGGGACCCAAATGCAGACAATAAATCCACAGACCATATACTCACTTCAAATTCTGCTTCCAAAATGTCACAATGAGCCAGGAAATGTTTCTCTGTATGCAGCTTTTACTGAAAGCTATATTTATATTGGTGCTTAGTCACTGTGGCACTACAACCAACAATTTTATATAGATACAAAATATTGAAATATACTGAAATGTATTTCAGCTAAAATCTCATGAAATATGGGACAAATTACTTGAGTAGAAGATATGTTACATTTTATGATGAAACCCAGTAATCTTCAGTTCAGTTCCGTTCCAAATTACATTAGGTTTTAGGAAAAGGGAATTTTTGATTTCCATAAATATCTAGAAATTTATAAAACTCCAGGTTGTAAAATTGCAGTTTTATGAAACAAATATGATTTAATTCAAAAAGACAAAACAATGGGAAAATTCATTTTAGTTGCTTGTAAATGTGGTAATTGAGAGAAATTTTGGCATGAATGATACAATTCTTTGGTAGCAAAGTACTTAACTCACTGGTATTTGAATCAATGAGACTTTTGGGGGAAACAAAAAGTTTCTCTTTGGACT